TGCTGGGACCTGAACGCTGCCGCAGAGCAGTTCTTACGCCGGTGCTGAGCAGTGAGAGAAAGATACTCTGCTCAGCTCAGAGAGGTTCTCTCTCACACAATACCAAAGCAGGTTCTGGGTGGAGTCTAGGCATGGCCAGCAATGGGAGTTGAAGTCTGAGAATGCTGGGATGCCGCCAGTTCCCCATTCCAGCCATGATGGGTTTTGTTAACTGATAGCCCAAGCTGTCAACGTCAAATTATGTTCAGAGAGACACTGTGGTGCAATGGCAGGAGTGCCAGGCTGGGACCTGGAAGGTAAAGGTAAAGGGACCCCTGACCATTAGGTCCAGTCGTGACCGACTCTGGGGTTGCGGCGCTCATCTCGCTTTACTGGCCGAGGGAGCCGGCGTACAGCTTCCGGGTCATGTGGCCAGCATGACTAAGCTGCTTCCTGAGAACCAGAGCAGCGCACGGAAATGCCGTTTACCTTCCCGCCGGAGCGGTACCTATTTATCTACTTGCACTTCGACGTGCTTTCAAACTGCTAGGTTGGCAGGAGCAGGGACCGAGCAACGGGAGCTCACCCCGTCGTGGGGATTCGAACCGCCGACCTTCTGATCGGCAAGTCCTAGGCTCTGTGGTTTAACCCACAGCGCCACCCGGGGACCTGGAAGACCAGGATTCAAATCCTCACTCGGCCACGAAGCTGACTGGGTGACCTTGGGAACCAGCTGCTCTCAGCCTATCCTGCCTCATATGGTTGTTGTGAAGATTGAATGAGGAAGGGAGAAACCATGTAGGTGCGCTTGAAAGCTCCTTGGGGAAAAAGTTGGGATATAAACAATAAACGGATTGTTCCTCTGAACCCCTGTCCAACCACAGGGCCGGCCTCCCAGACCAGCCTGCCTTGCTCGGCAGCGCCTTCGTCCTCCCAGTTAATCCAGTCCCCATTTTAAAGGTGCGGGAAAGTGCTTTGAAATGCTTAGAGGGGATAAACAGCTTTTAATGAAGTTACAGTGCTACATAATGTGTATCATAAAATTGCCTTCATACTGCAGGGTCCCAGGATGGTTTTTACTATCGACTGAGCTCGAGCTGCCGTTCTCTCTCTTTCTGTTGCAGCTGAAGCGAGGGGCGGGGTGGAAGAGGAGAGTGGCTGGAAAAATGGGGGATGTATTGAAATTACTCAATAGAAATAACTGGTGGACACTCCCTCTGCTCCCTGCCTTTTTTGGGGGGGGGGAGAGATGCGATTGGGAGCTGCCTTAAGGGGCTAGGCTGTCAGAGCCGGTTTGCGACTCCCGGAGAACATGGCGAGTTTCATTGCAGCAAAACAGATGTTCACCTTGTTTCTCGATCGGCTGTTAGATGAGAAATTTATTGCTCTTGCGCCAGGCTGGGAGCTCCTGTGCTGCGGAGTCTATTAGGCGAAAGTTGGGGGGGGGGGAGAGAAAGAGAGCTGGCAACCTGCCAGGCTGGCCCTGTTTTGATGGAAGCCAGAGGAGGCCACACCAGGCTCAGAGGCGCCAGCAGTAATGCATTGGCCAGACGCTTCTGATTGGGCGATCGATTGGGCTCTGATTTGATTTATTGATCGATAGCCTCAGAAAAAAAAAAATTGGCGTCTCAGAAAGCTTGGGCTAATCTTTAACTGCTGCAAACATCTTTGGGGGCAGAGGAGAGAGGGTGCATGTATGTGCATAGGGGTGTGTCTGTATTTGTGTGTATAACACCTACACACACATGTATGTAATCTGTGTCTCTCTCGGGAGAGGGAGCAGGCCGTAGGCTGGCCGAGAATTTCAAAACTGATAAAGGAATTTATGGAAGGCATTTGGGCTTATCTTAATCACACAGCGGGGGCCCGGATGGCAAGCCTCTTCTCTCCCCCCCCACTCCCATCTTTCTGCGAGCCAGCAGACAATCGCCAGGCACAGAGAGCTGGGGTAGATCTATAAATTGATGGGATTCAAAGCCTGCAGCATCGATTACCATTATAGCAAAAAGAGAGGAAGGGGGAGAAAAAAATCAGTGGCGTGCGGAATGGCTGATTATTTTTAGACAAAGATTTTGCCCCTCTCAGCAGCAATTTTTTGCTGATCCCGTCACTTGCGTCAGATGTCTGCTGTTGATTGCAATTAGATGCTTTAGACACCCCCCCTTGCCCCCACTTCTGGGGGGGGGGAGATTTCCCTCCCCACCCTGCACTCTTTCTGCTTATTAAATCTCCTCTTTTGTTTCTCTTCTCTCTGAGCCTCTTTCCCCGAAACTTTGCAGCTGGCTGGCTCGTAGGATTGTGTTACCCAGGGGGAAAAAAAGGCCCCCTCCGATCTGGGGTTAGGGGTAATCGTGTTGCAGATCGTTGGATTATAGTTGGTATGGTTCAGGTAATCCCATGGAAAAATACAGAACTTTTGCACAAACACCCCTTTTAAAAAAAATCCTACTGTTCTCCTGGACCAGTCTTTGCCAACCTGGTTCTTCCAGGTGCTGAGAACCACTGCTGTCTGGGGCTAAAGGTAAAGGTAAAGGGACCCCTGACCGTTAGGTCCAGTCGCAGCCGACTCTGGGGTTGCGGCGCTCATCTCGCTTTATTGGCCGAGGGAGCCGGCGTACAGCTTCCGGGTCATGTGGCCAGCATGATTAAGCCGCTTCTGGCGAACCAGAGCAGCACACGGAAACGCCGTTTATCTTCCCGCTGGAGTGGTACCTATTGATCTACTTGCACTTTGACATGCTTTCGAACTGCTAGGTTGGCAGGAGCTGGGACTGAGCAACGGGAGCTCATCCCATCGCGGGGATTGGAACCGCCGACCTTCTGATGGGCAAGTCCTAGGCTCTGTGGTTTAACCCACAGCGCCACCCGTGTCTGGGGCTAAATAGCACTGCAATTCAGAGCCTCTGGAGGGCAGCAGGTTAGCCAGAAGCTGTCCTGTGCACTTCAGAATTTGGAAATCTACTATGCAGGATTTTCCCCCATGGCCGCCACCAGCAAGGATCCTTGGGGATCGGAACAAAGGTCTGGGATAAAAGGATCGTTGCTGTTGGGGGAGAGATTCCTGCTCCAAGCGATTTCTGACAATGGATCCTGTGATCAGCGTCTTATTGCTTCCACAACCATGAGCCTATTTATTAGGCTCGTTAGTTGCTTGTTACAACAGAGGTCCTCCAGTGACTTGCAATGTATTTAAAAGCATAAACATATTATAATGTTAGCATTCATTTAAAAAAAAGTCATGAAAATATCCAGAACAGCCCCTCCCCTTGCAAGAGCCGCAGGAAACTTTGGCAACACACTAACAGAAAAACACCGCCACCACCACCATCCTAGTCCTATCGAAACCCTGGGGGCAAAAATACGTTTTTACCTGGAACTGAAAATAAGTCAGCAAAGGCAGATCTCTTTAGAGTTTCACAGGTGTGGAGCCACTCCTGAAAAGGCCCCGTCGTCTTTGTCACCATCTTCTGAGTCTACCTTCAGGAAGGGAGCCAGAGAAGGGCCTCAGGTGAGAATCGTAAGGATTGGGTAGGTTCGTATTGGGAGAGGCATCCCAGAATGTCACACTACCACTCCCATTAAAAAGGGACGCTTTGAGGGAAAGGACTTTCAAATTATGTACAGCTGTCCATTTGTTGCGAGTAAAATGGAGGATAAAACTTCATTCCCATGGATTTACGCCTTTAGGAGCATAAGAAGCTTCTACTGAGTCAGAGCAGTGGTCCATCTAACTGACTGGCAGCTGCTCCCCTTCATGAGTGTTATGTTAATTTCCCTTTATCTCAGTTTCTCACTTTTCAGTTCATGTTGTGTGTGTGTGTGTGTGTGTGTTTCAAAAAAGCCCTCATGAAATTTTTTTAGTGTGTATTTCTAATTTTTGCAAGCAGCTTTTGCATAACATCATGAATTTTTGTTTGTTATTTTCACTAATAATACAGTCGTATCTTTGATCCCAAATGCCTTGGTACTTGGATGTTTTGGCTCCCGATTGCCAGAAACCCGGAAGTGAGTGTTCTGGTTTGCAAACGTTCTTTTGGAATCTGAACGTCTGGAGGCATTTCCGAGGCTTCCGATTGGCTGCAGGAGCTTCCTGCAGCCAATCGGAAGCCGCGCCTTGGTTTCTGAACGTTTTGGAAGTCGAATGGACTTCTGGAATGGATTCCGTTTCACTTCCGAGGTACGTATATGTATATTTCTGTATATTTCTATGCACGGTTTCCTCCCCACCACCAAATGTGCACTTTTTCTGTACAGTGGAAACTCGTGTTACGGACGGGATCCGTTCCGGAGGCCTGTCTGCAACATGGAACTGACGCGAGCCGAAGTGTCGTGTCTGCACATGTGCGCGGCGCAATTCAGCGCTTCTGCGCATGCGCGAGCGGCAAAACCCGGAAGTAACCCGTTCCGGTACTTCTGGGTTGCCACGGGACGCAACACAAAAACACGTACCCTGGAGCAGACACAACATGAGGTATGACTCTATACAGTTTTTGTTTGGAGAGCTCCATATAAAAATTTGGAAATTCCAAAAGATAGCTGTGTTTCATTCAGTTCATGTATTGGCTTCAGGAAATGTAAATAAGATAGGTTTGGCTCGAAATCCTACCCAAACAGAAGCTCTCCTCCATTCCCGTCTACTGATAATAAATTGCATGTGGCCAGTTTACACGGCCGTCTGAGTGGAATAAAAATAATAGAATCATAGAATTGTAGAGGAGGAAGGAACCCTGAGAGTGATCTAGTCCAACCTCCTGCAGTGCAGGAATCTCAACTGAAGTTTCTAAGACAGATGGCTGTCCAATTTCTGCTTTTAAACCTCCAATGAAGGGGAGTCCACAACCTCCCAAGGGAGTCCGTTCCACTGTCGAACAGCACTTACTGTCAGAAAGTTTTACCAAATGTTTAGTTGGAATCTCCTTTCTTGCAACATGAAACTAGCTCCCCAACGCTGCAGGGAGCTATCGCAGCTTGTAGCCACAAACTTGTTCTGTGTACCAGAACTGAATAACGATGTCACAAAAAGCTGGGATAGCTCAGTCGGTAGAGCAGAAGGCTCTTGATCTCAGGGTCGTGGGTTCAAGCCTCATGTTGGTCAAAATATTCCTGCATTGCAGGGGGTTGGACTAGATGACCCTTGGGATCCCCTTCCAACTCTACAAATCTATGATCTCTTTTTAAAAAATTGCATGCGAAAAGCCACTCCTGGTTACCTCTCCAGGTTTCTTCATTTCTGCAGTCTAGGGTAGAGAGGGTCCTTTTGATGCTGCCATCGTAGTAGTAGTAGTAGTAGTAGTAATAATAATAATAATAATAATAATAATAGTACAGTGGTACCTCGGGTTACAGATGCTTCAGGTTACAGTCTCTGCTAACCCAGAAATAGTACCTCGGGTTAAGAACTTTGCTTCAGGATGAGAACAGAAATCATGCTCCGGCGGTGCGGCAGCAGCAGGCCCCATTAGCTAAAGTGGTGCTTCAGGTTAAGTACAGTTTTAGGTTAAGAACGGACCTCCAGAACGAATTAAGCTCTTAATCCAAGGTACTACTATAATAATAATAAAAAGGTATACCCTGCCCATCTGGCTGGGTTTCCCCAGCCACTCTGGGCAGCTCCCAACAGAATACTGATAATAATAGTTTTTAAAAAGCGATAAAACATCAAACATTAAAAACCTCCCTAAGCTACACTGCCTTCAGATGTCTTCTAAAAGTCAGATAGTTGTTTATGTCCTTGATATCTGATGGGAGAGTGTTCCACAGGGCGGGTGCCACCACCGAAAAGGCCCTCTGCCTGGTTCCCTGTAGCTTCGCTTCTTGCAGTGAGGGAACCGCCAGAAGGCCCTCGGAGCTGGACCTCAGTGTCCGGGCAGAACGATGGGGGTGGAGATGCTCCTTCAGGTATACTGGGCCAAGAGTCCGAATCATTAGAACATTAGAACTCAGATGCCTCGATGGTGAACCCGCAAGCAGGATGAGAACACAAGAGACCCCTCCCCTCATGTAGTTTCCTTTCCCTTCCTCCCCCACAACAAACACCCTGTGAGGTGAGTGGGGCTGAGAGACTTCAAAGTAGAGTGACTAGCCCAAGGTCACCCAGCAGCTGCATGTGGAGGAGCGGGGAAGCGAACCCAGTTCACCAGATTACGAGTCTACCACTCTTAACCACTACACCACACTGGCCATCGTAGCCATCGTTGGCCCTCTCTGTCCTCCATGAATTTGCCTAATCCTCTTACAAAGTCACCCAAGTTGGTGGCTTCCGCTGGCTCCTGCAGGAGCGAGTTCCACAGTTTAACAGCTACACGAAGGAGCCGTTTCTTTTAATGGAAACGGACGGATGGAGATGCTATCCAGCTTCCTGCCGATGACCTCAGCCGGTGCTGTTGAAAGCTCTCAGCGCCCGCTGGAAAACTCTCTGGCGGTTGCTGTTTTTCTTTCTTTTGGAAATCTAATATATTGATTAGCTTTCTTCAGTACAGCATCAATAAAAGTGTATAATGGCATGGCTGGGCCCTGTGGCGTCTTCCTCCTGCTGGTCTGAAAGCACCTCTATCCTCTCCTGCCTGCCTGCCCTCCAACCGGCAGACAGGAAGCCAATGTCAGCTCTTACCTTGATGGCTGGGCTTGGCTCCTCCTGGTCTGGCGGGTCTTGGCAACCCCGTCAGCAGGATGGGTAGCAAAACTTGACTTGAGGGTCGGTGGGGGTTGGCAGCCGGCAGCCCCTGTGCTGAATCCGGCTAGCTGAGCAATATCTCCTGCTTCCACGGGTGCCAAGCCAGAGGGAAGATGGCCTGTGGCCTCGCCAGCGGTGCTCTTTGTTGGCAGAGAAACTGCTTCCTTTCCCATCAATATCACCCTACACAAAAAACCATTGCCAGCAAAGGCTGAATTATCCCAGAGGCTGGTAACCCTTTCTATAGGGACGTGGGTGGCGCTATGGGTTAAACCACAGAGCCTAGGACTTGCCGATCAGAAGGTCGCGGTTCGAATCCCCATGACGGGGTGAGCTCCCGTTGCTCACTCCCTGCTCCTGCCAACCTAGCAATTCGAAAGCACGTCACAGTGCAAGTAGATAAATAGGTACCACTCCAGCGGGATGGTAAACGGCGTTTCCGTGCGCTGCTCTGGTTCACCAGAAGCGGCTTAGTCATGCTGGCCACATGACCCGGAAGCTGTACGCCGGCTCCCTCGGCCAATAAAGCGAGATGAGCGCCGCAACCCCAGAGTCGGCCACGACTGGACCTAATTGTCAGGGATCCCTTTACCTTTTAACCCTTTCTAAGGAGAGGGCCTCCTGCTTTTCTTCTTACACCCTTCACATCTTCCAGTAGACCTGGTGAAACGATGACATCTTTTGCACTAAAGGCAGCTTCGCCAACAGTAATAACAGTAATTTATATTCTTATCTCTCTGATCCTGCATGCTGAAGATCATGGTAGTTAGATTCTGGCGCCTGCTGTCCAAAGTTAAAACAGCCTGCGAAAATTCCATGGGTTTCAGCCCAGTCATGAGCAAAATGTTGTTTCTGCTAGTCTGATCACGAACGTCTTTGCCTAAATTGGGAGTTAACTATCAACCAACAAAGCTACAGCAGACGCCTGCTACATGTTCAAATTCTGTTTCCTTTTGAGTGTTGTTGCATATGCTGCTTTCAGAAATAGCCTTTTTGTAGCCATTCAAGGCAGCTTGCTGAGTTGCCCTTTCTCCACCTGCATTTGTTGGTTTTCACCAGCCCTGTCTCAAATTAGGCCTGTCAGAGCATCTTGCCTCTTTAATAGGGGGCATTTTTTGTCCATCTCAGTCACAAAGCCATAGGTTAGGTTGCCAGAAATCATAAGGGGGGGGGGAGAGACTTAACAACAACAACAGGTTGGGAGTCCTTTTAATTTAATTTGGCCTTAACGTTTTAGTATGATTATTATTTATTAAATTTGTATACAGTGGTACCTCAGGTTACATACGCTTCAGGTTACAGACTCTGCTAACCTAGAAATAGTGCTTCAGGTTAAGAACTTTGCTTCAGGATAAAAACAGAAATCGTGCTCCGGCGGTGCAGCCGCAGCAGGAGGCCCCATTAGCTAAAGTGGTGCTTCAGGTTAAGAACAGTTTCAGGTTAAGAACGGACCGCCGGAACGATTTTTTTTAAAAAAAATAATATTTATTACTTTTCCAACAATTTAAACACACACACAAAAAAAATTAAAAGTAAAAAGAAAAAAGAACAATACAATACATTACAAAAACACTACATAACACCTTAAACTAACAAAACAAAACAAAAACAATTTAAAAAACATCAAACAATCTCAATATCTTATCTTTCATTCACTTATTTCAGTGACCTCCTCACACCTCCCTTTTTGTATTCCACTTCTGTTGATTGTTTCAGCAATTCTTTTCCATCTTCCTCTGCTTTCTATCCTTTAATTATTTTAACAGATTCTAACCTTATTTTTCCCTTTAATACTCTATTAATCTATTTATACTTCATTCCTTATAACATTTCTACTAAAGCCATATAACTTCATTCCAACATTTTTCTAACATTCATTAATTTTACAGTATTTCTGTAAATAGCCTTTAAACTTTTTCCAATCTTCTTCCACCGACTCTTCTCCCTGGTCTCGGATTCTACCAGTCATTTCCGCCAATTCCATATAGTCCATCAACTTCATCTGCCCCGCCGGAAAGAATTAAGTACTTAATCTGAGGTACCACTGTGCTGCCCTTCATGCATGGATCTCAGGCCAGTTCATAGTATAAGAAGGCAAGACAAAAACGCAAAATACATGATAAAAACAATAACGCCCCTCCCCACAGCCCCCTCCCACAGACACATCTCAAAGGGTCCAAGATGTTAATCAGCCAAAGCTTAACTTCTGCTCAGCTGTGAGGACTAGATACATGAGCTGTTGTTTTCCCCCCAAACAAAAGCTGCTGTTTTCCGAAATGTAAGCAGTAATTTCCCTCTTCCCAACCTAAGGACTGTCTCCACTGCTTGTCACTAATTAGGGCCGCCATATTTTGAAGAGCAAAAATGAGGGCACATTTGCCGACTTCTACTTTTAACTGCGGATCGCTATGAAGTCTCCTCTCCTCTACTCCTCTATGAAGACAAAGAGGACGTGTCCTGGGAAAAGAGGACATATGGCAACACTTCCCTTCGTAACTCCCCTCCAGGAAAAAATATTCTTCCTCCTCCTGCCCCCCCCCCCCAAACAGTGGAGCATCTTCCTTTTAACTAGTTTCTGACAGATTTATTTCTTGCACAGCTTGACGGATGGAGGATTGTGGTGAGATGTTTTCAGAGTGAGAGAACAATTTTGCCATAATTAGAAATTGGTTGGGTTAACACGCCCTCCCCCCCCCTCCTGCAAAATCTTTAAATGCAGCAGCAAAGCTGGGTAAGGAATGTCTCTCTGCCACACAATCGGTTATTAGCACTTGATCAGTTTTCTTGGTGGATGGCTTGCCGCTGGTGCGTGAAGCTTGTGCAATAATAGGCCTCTTGATTAACGGATTTGCATATCTTTTGAGGACCCAGAATCTGCATTCTCTCTCCTCCGCTGCCATTGTCACAGACCCTATACATCTGCAGGAGAGAAATGCACAATTCAAGCTTGGCTCTCATGCCGCTGGGGTGAGGGAAAGCATTGCTCCCAAGAGCCAGCAAAATAGATAGGGATGCAGGGAGGTGGAATGTGTCAGACCAGGGGAGCAGCAGAGCTGCGGGACAGAAGATTTCAGCTGCCAGGTAAAGTGGAGGCATTTGCCTGCGGTAGAATAGCATCCAATGGAATGAGACCCATAATTCACAGGGAGGTCCCAGCTGTGCCCGGCGCAGTGTTGATTGCCCTTCCTACTCGCTTCAATCCATTTGGCGAGGATGCCCCCACTGAGCCAGGGAGGTCCTTTCGGTGTTCGCCATGTGTCACCGGAATGGATGGTTGTGTCATAATTTGATGTCTTGAGTCCCCAGGTGATGGAGCCTGGAAATGAGAAGGACCGGGAGGTCTTGAGGAGCAGGGCAAAGGCCCCACTCCCAATCAGGCCAGCACAAGAAGGTCTTTCCTACCCTGGGGTGTGTGGTTTTTG